ATCCCCCCCCTCCCATATTACCCGACCCCCCCCACTGCCCAGGCTACCTGTCCCACATACTCTACCCACATTACTTGTCCCTCACACACTGCCCATATTACCTGATCCCCCCACACACACTACCCAGGCTACCTGTCCCATATACTTTTTTCCAGATAAACTGTTACACAAACACAGCTCAACTAACCAGCTCCACATGCTCTTCCTAGATTACGTACCCCCTCCCCCCACATAATGCCCATATCAAACCCACGATATTTGCAAAGTCCAGTTAATATATACATATTAAGCCGTATATTTTGTAAAATTAAAATGAGGTTTTCAGAGTTTATTACCATATCCAAAGTGGTGTGTTTTACATTTTTATGCATCGAGCTCATCCAGTACTTAGCGTGTTACTTCAAAGATAAAACAAGAAATCTTTCTGGACAAGTACCGATATATATATACTTACTTTTTGCGCTAAATTACATTTTAAGGTAAAACACGTGTTTCAGAACTGTTTTACTAAAAGTCTGGCGTAATATTAAGTATGTTTTTTTTTTTCAGAATCAAAACCGTTTAATATAAAGAAAGAAAGGGAAAAACTAAATAATATAAGTAGATTTGTACATGAAATAAATTAAACAAGAACAGGATGTTTGACGAATGGTGATCCTGCGAAACCACAGCTGTCATGCGGATTTGACTGGAACGTTTCTTTTTTTATAGGGTATTTTAAATATTTATTTGTTAAATTTATGCAAACTATTGTAATGTGTCCCTATTCACCTTCATACATTTGGCCAGAGTTGACCTGTCACCTACTAACACCATTTCCGTCACATTTAGTTTGGTTTGTTTTGAATTTCGCGCAAAGCTTCACGAGGGCTCTCTGCGCTAGCCGTCCCTAATTTAGCAGTGTAAGGCTAGAGGAAAGGCAGCTAGTCATCACCACCCACCGCCAACTCTTGGGCTACTCTTTTACCAACGAATAGTAGGCTTGACCGTCACATTATAACACCCCCACAGATTGCGAGTCGAGCGCCATAACTACCTGGCCATGCAGGACCCTGCCCCTAGAGATTCGTCATCATACTTTTATCAGCCCTTAAAAAGGAAAGATGAAAACACAGCCCTTTTTTGTCAACATCCTGGGATTTTAAAGATGTGTTTTTACCACGGTTAGGAATTCAGTTCAACGGACTACGACATCAAATATTTATTCCTAAGTCTATGCTGTGCCCACAGAATGAATTGAAGTTTTGTCTCCACAATTAACCATGACGAATCAATATTGCAGCTTTGTAGACAGCATTCTGAGAAGGTACGGGTTTCTTTGAACGTTTAGATGTTGAAGTCACGAATACTGTGATACACAAATTCGAGTTGCAATCCACTGCCCTTTATCTACTTGTCAGGTGAACTCATGCAGGTGAGATGAACTGCTGTACGTCATTATGATAAATTTAGGGTTGGAAAAACCATGACCTCAATCTTGCTGCAGACCCTTCATTTACGCTTCACTCTGTCACTTTCCAAGAAGTCCGATACTTATCAACACTTTGTACCAGGTAACCCCCTCTCCGTCATTCGTGATGGACTGTAGGGGTCACGTCTTATAACGAACCTTGTAATAAATCAATATTTAAGTACATATGTGTAATACAGAGCACATCCCTCCTACTGTGTCATGGCGTGTTCGACAAATTATACAAAACGTCCAAAGACAGAAGAAAATATAATTGGTACACCTGAACCATGATAAACTCATTTTCTGCACACTAGGGGTGTTTGTTTTTAATTATGCACAAAGCTACACAAGGGCTATCTGTGCTCTGCCCACCACGGGTATCAAAACCCGGATTCTAGCGTTGTAAGTCCGCAGACATACCGCTGTGCCACTGGGGGGGCTCACTAGGGGTGAGCTGAAAACGTCGAATTGGGGGTTAGAGATAACTCTGCACTAACAATGTTGGTGTAAACATTTGCCTTTTGTTTTATTTCAAACCTATGCAATTGTTTGGAAAGATCCGTTTTTGGATTCTAGCATCTTTTGATAACAAATAACGTCACCTTGATCTGAATTGTTTGGAAAGATCCGTTTTTGGATTCTAGCATCTTTTGATAACAAATAACGTCACCTTGATCTGAATTGTTTGGAAAGATCCGTTTTTGGATTCTAGCATATTTTGATAACAAATAACGTCACCTTGAT